TAACATTCTGCTTAACCAAGATGTCCCAGACCCAGCATATCTACCTTCTTCATCTCCTGGTTAGTCCCCTAAAGACCTCGTTGCTGAAGGATGCTCTGGTCAGTGCTTGTTCCAGGTCACAGAGGATACAGTAATCAGATGGTTTTTAAGTTTCAGCTATGGTACATTGTGAGTCACCTGATGTGAGATCCGGGGGCCAAACTTTAGTCCTCTAGGAGAGCTGTATGCACTCTTAGTCACTGAGCCATCTCTCCAGCCCACAGATACATTCCTAATTTTAGAAATATTTTACCTTTAATCACCTCATAATGTAAATTTTAGCATGCATTTTATGTTTTTCAGGAATTTGTGCCTAAAATATATTTAAAGTTATAGGATCTGGAAATTTGGGATCAGGCTACTCTCAAGAAATATACTGGTGATGGTTCTCCCAAGGGTTGATTTATTTTATACCTACATAGTTTCTTTGCTTCTGACATTCGTCCTTGATAGTTTGTGCTTCACAACACAACCAAAAGGCAACTTGAAAACTCAATTGCTAGTTATTACTCTTCCTTTATCATTTGGAGGAAAATCCAAGATCACTTGAACAGTCCATAGTTTATAAACATTATAAATATGTTTCTAATCTGTGCTATTGTTTCATTGTCTAAATTCTAATCATGATCTCTCTCATATTAAAATCACTTGTATCTTTTTTAGACATGAATCAAGTTCTGCCTTTGTAACCCATTATTACTTAATCAAAAATTATTCTTTTACACATGATTGTGACTTTTTAAAATTTCTTCCAATATATTTTAGATTATAATGATTTATTTCCTAACCAAAGTGCACTTTCACACAGCCTTATTTCATTCTCCTCACCCTTTTTATTTTTTCTTGGTAGAGTTTATTTTTTACTTTAATGAAGCATGCATTTCCTTTCTATTCACAACTAGAGAACAGTAGGGAATATATTGCTATATCCATTGACTTACAAAAAAAACAAAAATAAAGAATAAATTTTTAAGGACCGAAGTTCACAGTCTATTTAAAATATGTCAAGTAAAATTTGTTTAATTATGTATCCTACAATTTTCATGACAATAAATAATATTATTATGTGTGCTAAATAGCTGATTTTAATAATAATAAAACTGAATATTTTCATTTTCTATTAAGCAGATAATTATATAACAACTTATTTGCATTTAAACATATGAAGGTGTATTTGAATACAGACACAAGATTGTAAAAAAATCACCTGTGTTTAAACAATTGCTACTAAGTACTTAAGAGTATATGAAAATACTTTAAAATTTTTAAAATTAATATACTTCTATAAAAATAGAGAATAATATATAATAGTATTTAGTGGTTTTCTACCTCTGAATTAGACACATTCATTATGTGAACAGCTTCAGCTAAATATGCAATAATGAGGGCATTTTGAAACAAGCTGCTAAATATTCAAAAGATATTTGTTCAAATCTAATTGAAAGGTAAAGTGGAAAGAAATGATATTTAATAGACTCTGACAAGCATTTAGAATAAAAGCATTTTCTGAATTACTTAGAAACATGAAAATGCTTCCATTGATTGACATTAAATTTTCTTTCCATTGATTAACAAAAGGAACAGTAAACAAAGTTATGCAAATCCCCTCTTGACCCATTAATTTGACAATTTTCTCATCTTCTGAAAGTTGACCTTTAATAATACATAGTGACAGATACCAGCTTGATAATTTCCTTCTTTTGAATTTATGTGCCTACAACATGAAATTTCAAAATTAAAAATCAAGGCACTGGAAGAGAAGAAATATGGGAAATCATGTCTCATTATTTTTAGAACATTTTAGTGCTATGGCTACAATAAGTTGCTATTTATTCAGTGTGGTATTTTAAAGACCGCTGGTTATCAATATACTTAAATGATGAAACACAACATCTATGCAAATTAAAAACTAGTGACAGCTGTTGAAAAATATGATAAGAAATCATGTGAGTTGGTATACTTATTGCAAATAAATTAGGACAAATAATAACCAACACATTCGGAATACAAGTAAAGTTATAAATGGACAAAGAATGTAGGTACTTATGAAACATACAGCCACTCAAGACTTAAAAGTATTTGTAAAATGTGTTCTGGTTAGTTGGGAACTAAATCAGTAAAAGAACAAAGACTATGATAATGGACAGATAATCTGTGGAAACAGGCAATCTTATGATATATGAATAGAAAATGAAGTACAAGCATTATTGGAGCACATCTGTGCTTTCAGCTATGTCTTCTTTAAATTGGCCTCCACTGGTAGCACTCAGTGTGGTTTCATTCCACCATATGTTCTTACCCACTAAGATCTATATAAACACATCATTGTTCAGCAGGATAACTGGCAGCAGCACTTATTGGGAAAACATATTTTCATGCATCGTTCAAAGAGATGCAAGGGTACTACTGCCCCTGCCATCATCCATCTGTTGGATGCCTGTAATCAAACTTCATCTACCCTTTATGGCAAAATATTATGCAGGTAATTTGAGGGTGGAAATATCCTAGAGGGGTATGTGTGTGGCGGTACTTGACTAATTATGATGAAATGACATAGACGGATAGATGATAGACAACAGATAGGGAAGTAAATAGATAGATGAATACATAATTCATCAATATTAATATTACATAATATTCAGGTATTGTTCTACTTTAAGGTTAACCTTGTAATAGATTACATGAATATTACTTTCTTGGTACATTTCTGACCACTACATATATTTGGTTTTAATTACCTAACCTTAGTACTTCTACCCTTAAATTGCTACATGGGAAATTCCCTTATATAATGTCTGAAAAGCATGTGGTAGTTTGGTGAGAAAAGTCTCCTGGAGTCACTGGCATCTGAAATCTGAGGCATAGCAAATAGCCTAGTTAAGAAGGTTTAGAAGGCTGAAAGACATACGTTATTTAGGGTGCACTTTGAAAGTGCTTATCGACTGTCTCCTTTCATTTAAACATGTATTGTACTTGTCTTTTCGATGTAATCCCTCAGCTCTGTGTTCCTCCAACCATGCCTAATGCTACCCCCATATCCCTTCACAATAATAGATTCTCATACCTTTGCAATCATAAACTAAAGCAAACTCCTTTTGCAAGTTGTCTTTTATCATAGTGTTAAAAAGAAAAACAAAACATCATAACGGAAGTTGGCAGCAAGAGTGAGATACTGAAATGTTGAAGTAATGAATTACTTCATTATATATATTCTCTCTCTCTCTCTATATATATATATATGAACATTCATATTTGTGTGTGCATGTGTGTGTGCACATGTGAGAGCATGGGTGTGCATACAAATGTTGTACAAAGTTAAAGATGAAGGGTGGAAGAGTTGTAGAACATTGAAAGCAGAAATTAATGGGAAATTTAATGATACAATCCATGAATATGCTGCAAAGGAGGCTATAGCTGTTAAGCTGTCAAGATTAGTGTGATTACAGAGAGGACTGTTATGAACCATGACATAGGGAAGGGTGACCTTACAGAAACAATCCACACTCAGATAGTGTTCCAAATTCAGAGAACAATCACTCTCTGCTCCAAAAAAATGGCTGATTAAAAGCACTGTTGCTAATGTGACTCAGGCAGTTGAAGTTTTATCTAAAGCTGGCAGCCAAATATGACCGTACCATTTTCATGGTTCTGAATTTTCAGGCATGATGGATGGAAGAGTAAATGGGGTCAAGTGTTCTTATATTGCATAAAGAGAGTCACAGAGACCTTTCAGGTTTGGGAGGGGATGCCCCTGCATGAAGGTATTGAGAAGGCAATGTCAAAGTGAATCTAGATTTGCAGTGAAGAACCAAATATATTGGAATTAACAGTGTCATGAGATTATAGATATATATTCCAAGGAGAGCTGGAGAGAAAGAATGGAAGAGAGAGAGAGGGTGGGGGGAGACAAACAATGAAATAGGGACAGAAGGGAGAGAGTCATTTCAAAGGCAGCAATGCTTGAGGAACAGAGCCATCTAAATCCCTTTGGTTGTAGATATGTAACTACAAGGTTTTCTATTCCTTCTGGGAGGTTCTGCTGTCTCTTTGGCCCACAGATTTTCACTCTGCCTCCATTCTTCCCTTTTGGAATGTCAATGCATATTCCCTTCCAAAAATTTTGAGTGTACACCAGTTATTTTTTTTTCGTAAGTAAGAACAGTAGCATTAAATTTTATCTGAGTTGCCTAGGCTATAGAGTATCAAATTCTTGGACACCCAAACTGTCTAGGGTACAGAGTCCATCTCATGAAGTGGTTCTTATGTCATATTAGGTAACATCTCTAAGAAGCCTGTCTGATTTTCCATAAGACAGACAAGGAGTGGATTGGGATGGGAAGTGAGGGAAAGAGGAACTGAGAGTAGCAGAAGGAAAGGAAAGTGTAATCAGAATATATTATTGAGAAAAAAATGTATGGCTCAGCAGTTAAAAGCACTGTGCTTCCTGAGTTCCTGAGTTAGATTCCGAGAAACCACTTGGTAGCTCACAACTTTCCATGATAGGATCTTGTTCCCCCCTTTTAGTACAAAGGTATACATGCAGAACACTCACACACAAAAAAATCTATTTTCAGTATAGGGAAAAAATAAGAGGAAGATACACAAATGACTGATAAACACTTGCAAATTGTTTACTAAAAGTGTTGCCTAGCCGGGCGGTGGTGGCGCACGCCAGTAATCCCAGCACTCGGGATGCAGAGGCAAGCGGATCTCTGTGAGTTCGAGGCCGGGCTGGACCGACAGCCTCCAAAACAATACAGAGAAAACCTGTTTCATAAAAACCAAAAAAAAAAAAGTGTTGCGTTTTGTCTCAGAGGAGATTTTGAAGTGTCATGACAGTGAAATACTACGTGGTCTTTGGAGTTGGACTAAATAATCACTTTCCACTGTTATGTTGCCATGAGACGAGCCAGGAAGTGGAATGTGGTGGTTACCATTAGATACTCCCCTGAGGGCTTCAGACTCTCGAATGGTCGCTTCCAATTCGGTGACATTAATTGGAAAGTACTAAGTGTGCCCCACTTGAGAGAATTTGTCAGTGATGGTGACTTTGAAAATGTAGAGGTCAGCTAAACTTCCAATTAATTTTTTTCTTTGTCCTATGCTCGTGTTTGAGATTTGCTTCCCAGCTTCTGACTGCTGTTGTTAGGCCCTGATACCCCACCCTGTTCCCACCACACTATACTCTTTTCTCTTTGGTACTGTAATCCATAATTAACTCTTTCTTCTTGAAGTTGCCTTTGTTCATGGAGTTTTTTCCCAGTAAGAGTAACAATAAATCCCACATGGAGTTGTACTTAGACAAGGCACAGATGAAGGACGTATCATCTGGCAAAGTATCAAGTGGGAGAGCTATACCAGGTCCCATCGCTTCATGTAATGCTCCCAATACCAGGGAGATTTCCTACCAAGAAATCCTGCTGTGCTGCTGAGAAAAGTGAGCATTGAGGAAATCAAGAAAGGTAGTAGAAATATTTCATCTACAAATAATTGTACTTCCCCATCGCTAATGACATGATTTTTTTATGTTTTGTCCTTGAACTTCTGTCATTCCCCAGCCCAACATAGGTAAGAGTAGAAATAAACACGTCCTTGAATGAAACTGTAGAGAAAATTTCAGTTTCTTTCCACTAACTGGTAACTAATATGCTAGTTTACCAATCTCATATTAGATATCAAATATTGAATTTTAAACCTTTAAAATTTAAACATATTTATGTAAATATGCCAAATGGAAAGTTTTTATTCCGTAACTTTAAATAACTCAAATAAGCACAAAGTTACAAAAACAAATGGCCAGGATAATGTTGTTGAATTATTTTTCTGAAATAATGGATAATTGTGTCCATAGTCAACTGAATTTTGTCTTTGTTGAGCTGAGGACTGAAACAAGGATTTTGTGCATACCTGGAAAGCAGTCTACCACTGATCTATAATCTCGCCCACTGATTAGATTTTTAACAACATAGCAAGCCTTTTTAGCAACCTTTTTTACTCAAGATCAGGATTATCCAACTTAGGAGAGCTTATGTTTAAAAATTATTAGTTTAAGAGGTTACTATTGATGAGTATAATTTTGCATTTCAATAACTATTCTTAGCTAGGAAAAAAGTGATGATGATGCAGCCATTGTATAGATGAGAGTTTTTCAAGAAATTGCTCTGTAAAATGAATCTCAATTTATAAACTTTTATCATTCTTATCATTAGGTTAAATAAGTCTTTCCATAAATCATTATCTTCTCAATTTATAAAGACCAGAAATGAAACTTCAAAAGTAACACTATGGAGTCCATTTTAGTTGCTATAAAATTAGTAAAAGAATGTTTTAATTCTTCATGAAATATTTCACTGCCCTTTGAAAATTGCTTTGTTAGTGATGCCCTTCTTGCTTATATAGACCATTCCATAAAGAAAAAAAAGATGCTCTTGATCAGTTGAAAAATTTAGATAATATGTGAATTATCAAGCTTCCAAACAGCAAAACCTGCACCATTATAAAGATTTACTAATTTATAACACATATTATATAAATCAGAATACCCAATAAAAGACACACGGCTGGATTTACTAAGTAACTTCTGATTGACAGAGACTGAAATTAAAAAAAGTTATACCATATATTTTTATATCTTATAATGTTATCAATGTGACTGATATTTTATCATCTTAGATGTGTTATAGTCTCCTGAAATCAGTCAGGGTGCATAATTAACAGTGTGTGTTAACTTGAGTAAAGAGATGTAACAGTCAAAATATTGTTGCTAAACTTAATCTTAAAATGTAAATCACAATATATACCTAGTCTTTACTGAAGGTATTTCCTAATATTTAAGTAGTTAAACAATAGTTGAGATATATTTCAATATCAGGTTTACCTATGTGAAAAAATATTTACATTTACATTATTGATTGTTTTATTTGAAATAAAGAAAAAAACATTAGTTTTTTAAAAAATAAATCTAAATTCCAAACCCATTCTTTCAACAGATTTTTCTTCTTTCTTTTTATCATTTTTTAATTTAGTTTTAAATGGCTTAATTTACATGTCAATCCCAGTTCCCTCTCCCTCCCCTCCGCCCGCACTCTGCTTCCCCCCCCCACCCTCCCACACTATTGCCAAATCCTTCCACATAGGGGATATCTAGAGTCTGTCATTTCACTCTGGGTAGGGTCCAGGCACTCCCCTAAGAGTCCAGGCTGAGAGAGCATCCCTCTTTGTGCTATAGGCACACGATGACAGTTTGTATTCCAGGGATAGACACTGATCCACAGCTCAGGGCCCCATAGGTTGCCCAGGCCTTCTCGCTGACACTCACATTTGGGGGGGTCCAGATCAGACCCATGCTGGCCTCCCCACTGTCGGTCTGGGGTCCAAGAGCTCTCCCCTGTTCAGATCAGCTGTCTCTGCTGGTTTTGCCAGCCCATTCTTTGCCTATTTGCTCATCACTCATCTCTCTCTGTCACTGGGTTCCTTGGGTTCATTTCAGTAATTAATTGTGTGTTTGCCTCTGCTTCCATCAGCCACTGGATGAAGGCTCCTGGATGGTTATAGACATCAAGTTCATTATCAGGAATGGGCATTCGAGGTGGTCTCTCCACTATTGCTTAGCTTGCCAATTGGTGTTATCCCTTTAGGATAGAAGACAGATCAGGCACCAGAGTGACCTCGAGTGATCAACAGATTTTTTTTTATTTTTAAATTTAATTTAGAAACAAGCTTGCTTCACATGTCAATCCCAGCTCCCTCTCCCTCCCCTTCTCCCAGGCCCTCCCACTAACCCCCTTCCTCCAGTCCCCACTCTATTTCCCAGGGAGGGTAGGAGCTCCATGTGAGATCTCCAGAGTCTGTCATTTCATTCAGGTCAGGGCCTACACCCTCCCCCAAGAGTGCAGGCTAAGAGAGCATCTCCCATTGTGGGGTGGGCACCCAAAGTCCATTTATATGCCGGGGATAAATACTGATCTAATACCCAAGGACGAATAGACTGCCTACATTCAAAGGATCTGAATCAGTCCCATGCTGGACTCCCAGTCATCAGTTTGGGGTTCAATATCTCTCGCTTGTTCAGGTCAGCTGTTTCTGTGGGGTAACCAGCCCAGTCTTGACCACATTGCTCATCAGTCCTCTGTCTCTATTTCACTGGGTTCCTTGAGTTCAGCTCAGGGTTCAGCTGTGGGTGCCTGCCTCTGCTTCCATCAGCCACTGGATTAAGGTTCTGTTTCCCAGACTCTCTGGCAGTGGGAATGTATGCTTGCATTCCCCTGATCCATGTCTAAAATCCATATATGAGTTAGTACATACCGTGTTTGTCTCTTGTGACTGGGCTACCGCATTCAGGATACTTTCTTCTAGTGCCATACATTTGCCTGCAAATTTCAAGATTCCATTGTTTTTTTTTTCCGCTGAATAGTACTCCATTGTGTAAGTGTAAAACACAATTAATAGTCTGTAATTGAGATATACATCAGAACAAAATTATGTATTGTGTCATCTGAACCCATATATTTGTATGCAAAATAAGAAATGAATATAGCTAGTGAAAATAAACGATGACAAGAGAACATTAAAAGCTGCACACAGACACATATTCAGATAACCACAGAGAATGCTTTTGCCAAGTAACTAACAGAGTACAAAGAACTCCTGAAATGACCTGGAACCTGCAGCATCTAACAGATGATGGCACAGAAAAGACAAAACACGATTTGGAGACACATTAGCAAGAAACTAACAATATACAACCGGTAGGAGGAAAGCATTATGTCTTTGTTTCAGGAGCCAATGAAAGCATCCCTCTCCCTTTAAGTCAATGAATAAAACAGATCCTTCAGTAAGCCGACCACAGAGCCCTTGCTGGGCCCCTGAGGATCACTGAGCAAACATTGAATTACTGGATAAAGTAGAATAAATCACATAATCCTTCAGCATATTTTGATAATGACTAAAGTGTCAGTGGCTTCAAATTTTCACTTCCCTGAAATGTAGAGGAAATTTTAAATGGGAAATTAGAAACAAAACGAAAACTGTGAGAGTGACTTAGGATTTCAAGTGCCACTGGTCCCACCCCTAACATTCTGGGCATGTGTATGTGTGAACACAGGTGTGCTGGTAAATTTGTCAATTTGCACATGTATAAGGCAGAGAGATACACATTGGGTATGTTTCTCCATCACTCTGTAACTATTTTTTCAAACATGATGCTTAAATAATTAATTTCATTCCTTACAGTATACTTAATTTCTCCTTAAAACTATGTATTCAGCATAATTCATGGTTAAAAAAAACACTTGAATCTGATACATAAAAATCATGATAACAAATTAATTTAAAAAACAGACATTCTTTTAAATATGTGCTTTGCTACTAATAAATATAAGAAGCTTGCCATTGACGAACTGTTTGTACTCCTGTGTTCCATCAGATCTTAGATTTCCTTGGCCCATATCATGCCTTATGAAGGACAAATAGTATTATATAATGTGTATTTTTCAGAGAAGTTCAACAAAAAAAGGAACAAAGCTTTGTGTAAATGTGTATTTATCCACTCCACAACTCACATTAAAAATTAATTAGCCAGTAGTGTGATATTAAGGGGCAAAACACACTACATGAAATATGTCCATGAGAATAATGACATTATCAGTGAACCTATGCCCTAAATTAATGATTCCAATCGCTTCTCTCTTTCACCCCATGATACAAAAGACCTTCCCTGGTTAAAAACAGCATGGTACTGGACTACTCGGTTTACAGATGTATGAGAAAATAAATGTATTATAACATACTACTCACCAAATATACTAAGAGAAAGTCTGTCTAAGTTTGGGTACAAGTTATCCCACTAATACTGGAGTTTACTTCATCAGTTAGAATAGGAAGCCCCAGAACATCCCTGCTTCCTTCTTCCAAGTGCTAACTGTCAAATCTGATATTCACATCGATTACACACATCAAAATTCATGGTTACATAAGTGCTTTCCCTATTGAACTGTGTCTTTAGTCTTTATAAGTGAATTGCTATTAAATTGAGAAAAAAATCTTTCCAGGACTTTTGGGGGTAA